TTGAAATACTGCTTCGGTACAACTTGAGCATGTTTCTCCTCCTACACGGGATAAATTAAACACGGCATCTGACTCATTTGAACGAACGAGCCAGGTGAACGCGTCGTGACTACATCGACTCATCTCTACAAGAGCCTCCCACGGCTTGTCCGGTCATCGTAAAACACTCAAAAACCGTTGGGTCCCCAGTGCGACGGAAAAGATCTGAAGAATCGAGAAGCAGTCACACACACACAAATATAAACCATCGACCGTATCACCCTATTCTGAATCAAAAGCAGAAAAAAACCAGACTAGGAAACCGACATCCGCGTCGGGGAATCCTCGAATCTACCCCAACGGTCGTCCTGACAAGGTCGATGCCCATCTCCGAGATGGCCAGAAAACGTTCAGAAAAAGATTTTCCAGTCGGTGGGAAAACAAAACAAAAACTTTAAAATGAATTCCGGAGGGACACTGGAACCGAGAAGCAGTAATAATCACGCCGAGACGATTGATAAGCACGTCGATAATGCAGCCGTCAGCGTAATTCGCGCAGTTTCAAGCGCATCGCTGCGTTTCAAATCCTGAAACCGTGATAAACGTTCAAAACTCAACTGTTCGCTCGTCGTTATTACTGCGTACGTAATCAAACTGGAACAGGGCGGATGCTCTTCGTCTCGTAGGGCTGAATTTTGGAAGCATTTCGGGACACGCCCGGCGCAGGTTTATTCTCGACACCCTTCTGGCATCAAAAGCAGCGGTAGGGGAATGAGGTGGGTGAACTGAATGGGATGGCATTCACGACGGAGATGTACCGCGATGGGAGTCGCGCGAAGAGGAGACACCAACTGCGTCTTCAAAGTGCAGATATGGGAACTTCAAGCTCATTTCCGGGTATTTACCGCGTTATGGGTGCACAGCAAACGAGATGAATCGTTCTCATGCTTTAAACGGTCATTCGGAGCTTGAGATTCAATACTTCCTCGCTGAGGTTTCCCTTCGATTGTTTTTATCTTTTCATAATTCTGCTGCAATGATTGATCACGCATTGCACCAAAATGAATACAAATTCTTACATTCACCAGATTTGGTTATTCAACAGTCAGAACTAACCTAACCAAACCAACATAACCAATTGTTGAAATGATCACTACAGTAACCGAATTGAATGAACATCGAACTAAAAGCACCATAAAGGAACTTAGCAGGTAAATACAGCGCCTTCATACTCCGTATAATGATAAAATTGCTACGAGATCTTACAATACAGTACTGTACATCTCAATACTTGTTCCAGATCCCTGAGATGGGACATCGAAAATATTTTTTCGACGACCATGAACTCGCGAATCAGTGGGAGATCCGAAAAATACATGCAATGAAATTACAATCGAACTTCGATTATTCAAACCTTCAAAACCCCGTAAGTCAATTGCAGTACCTCCCCTATGTTAAGTCTCCAAGTTCCTGGCTGCATTCCATTCGAGACATGGTCTGAAAAGCCTCCCTCACTCGAAGGATTTTCTCCTCGAACTTCTATAACTAGAATCTTCTGGTGGCATTTTGGCTACGGCATTTGTGTGACTTGGGAAAGAGGAAAACAACAAAGTAACTTGATTTTTTTTTCAAGGAAGTGAAAGATTAATTGGTTGACTCATTTCAACTTTCTTCACTTCATATTTTTCCAACGCAAAAAACGTTTCCCCAACTTGAAAACTCCACCAGTCGAATTTTTTGCTGGACGCTCGGAATGCGTCTCAAAGACGATCAACCGAACTTCAAAAAAAAGGAATCTCAGATCTTTCAAGAACTCGAAAATGTTTCAACACACGAACGAACCGCGGGGGAGCACTGACTCACCGGATTGATCCCAAATAATTTACGCACCGCGGCCCGGGTCCGTCACAGCAAGTACTGCTTGCGTCAGTACCGAGACGTTGGAATGACAGCTGGCCGTCGATCAGCAACAGACTAACTGGTTATAATTTTCTTTGCGTGGTACATTTACATTCCGAACAAGGCGACAACATGCTTTCTTAACATCGCTTACATCAATGAAACGTTCCGCTCAACAGTTGTTCAAGGAAAATAGCACATTACAAGATTACTCCTTCCTATTGGATGCACACAAATAGATAAAAACTTTTTTGGATACTGTATCTAGGAATCGACCAAAGAAGAGGATAAAATAAAATACTGTACTGTGTACATTTTCGCAAAAAGTTTCCGAATCTTGACCATCTAAGCACAGAAAATTATGACTTTCGACATTAAAAAAAATGAAATAATGCTACGGGCTCCTGATTTGAATATGTCACGAATACAGAACGTAAAAAGTTCACACATTAACTCGGAAGTCAATAACGAAAAATAACGATAGACAGACTTTAGCAGAATTAATTACTTTTTCAAAATGCGAACGAAGATTTTCCCCCATGGGTGCAGAAAGCTTTAAGGAACATCCACAAATGGAACAGAATTAAAGATTCGCATAAATATGAATCGGAACCGTCGTGTCAGTCACGATGCTTTATCAATATTTTATCAGACACGAATCGTCGTAAAACATTTCCATAATTGGAGCCTGGGAGGCAGTAAAACAGGTTGAACGGGGAACCAGCCAGAATCAATGATGAATTGATGAACAATCGCTACAAAAATCTAGAGCGAAGACTTTTCCCTCATCAGGACAACTGGTTCAAGCAGTGATTGCCATAACCGGGCAAAGTCGAACTTATTTACACGGACAAAGGAATGATTGATATCAAGTATCGTTAAATTCAAACCGCTCTCTTCGTGAAAGCAAAGCCAGCAATAGATAAATTATGGTGAGGTAAGTTCAAATCCATTTTTCAACTGCAGTTTTTTTCCCAGTTTTTTTCACAGAAATCTTCTCAATTGATTACTGTATTCCGAGTCAGAACGGCATAGTTCAACACCGGCAACAAAATTATCTTGCGTTACTATTCAAAATGGGAGGGGTATATGTTCTCAAAAAATTGAGCAATGAGGTACGGACCGACGGCATAGGGGAATTCCTTCCAGATTACCTGAACTCACTCAAAGTGTATTCCATCTAGCTGTGCCTAGCAACAACTCCACAATCTGATCTGAGCCGATATCAGAAGTGGTCGGTCTGATTAATTCAACCAACGAGATTCGATATCAGATCATTTTTTCACGTCCAGGTACTGAGGGTCCCTCAACAAGGAAAATTGTCAGGTGAGGATTAACTTTATGAAAATCCACTTTACATAGATGAGTACTCTAACATGCATAAGAAGGTTTAAAATGGGCAAATACTATTTCATAATCATAAACAGAAACCATGAAGGTGATTAGAAGCTTCATCGCATCACTGAAAAGTTCTCGACACCTAATTTCGCGAGCTAAGGTGCAGATTTACATAACTTAAAAAACTGAAAGAAGTACTTTTCTAGTCGAAAGATAAACTTCCGTGAAATTTTAATTTTCATCGCAGATAGCTGCGAAGTCAGTAAAACGTCCTTCCGCCACGAAAGAAATCGATATCGACTCCATGAAACTTCCGATGGAACGTGGAGTGCCGTGAAGCATCATAACAAACGAGTTCATCGTAAATTCGATTTTTGTATCGCTCAAGAAATACCCCAGCAGTATTCGAGAGGCTTAATTATGCACAAAAAATCGCAATGAACGGCTCCGAGTCCATGAGTTCCGAAACCAGGCGGTAACATGCAAATACAGTATTTCAACTAAAATATGAAAAACGTGGCGGGAAATGTAATTTTACACCGCAAAACAAACAAGGTGCAGAAGTAACTGGAATCGTCAACTTAGAGGGATTGATACAGGGAGAATAACTGAAGACCCACGCGAAGATGAAACACTAAAATAAATAACTCCAGTGTACTCTACTCGACGAACTCCGAATCCCGGAGGCTGGCGTTCGGCCAAACAAAAAACTTACAAGTCACACGGCGCATGAATACACGAAGTAGAGAAGCTGGGGCTTACGAGGAATGAGGGAACGGGAGACGGTAAGTACATGAGTACCATAAATGATCACTCGAAGCAGCCAACCGGGGGATCGTTATTCCGAAAGATTTCAACGAGAACGGATCAGTGAAACTATACTGTATTATGAAAAATACGCAAGAATTTTTGCCGAAATTCGGAACTCTACTCTGCGGATAGATGGTTAAGACAGAAAAGGGTGATAATCCCCTTGACTTCAAATCACGGCCCGGTTGAAATGAAACAAGCATAAAAATGAAGATTGTATACCGAACGACGGAGTTATCCTAGTTGGCCTCCTAGGGTAGATCCCATGCGTCCTATTCTTGCACGGCCACAAACATCCTCATCGGAAACATAGTACGACTGAAGTATACCGCGAAAATAGCGTCACTACCTCTCAACACTCAACAGACCCACATTCTGTTTGTAACGAACGATGGATAGCTAAGGCGCTATGTTCTAGTTTCACAGATCAGATTCCACTAAAACTGCTATTTGCCGAAAGCATCATCAGTATTTTAACTTCGAGAACAGCAGAATTTCATTAAAACTTTGAATGGATTCCCGTACCGAATGAAGTTCTCACTCATATCATGCCCCAACCGCAAATTTGTCGCTTCCACAACCTCTCCACTACACGCACGAAGACCGACTGACCAAGCGAACGGATCCGTCGTACTCGAACTCGGCAGCTAGCATAACGTGGAAAGCCGTTACTTCGTTCGGTACAATCTGAAGGACCTCACTCTTACTGTACGCCAAATTCAGTACTAGCACTACCCTGGCAGTTTGATTGGGGATCACATTCACTTTAACGTTCAGGAAAACGCGAAGCAGATCACATCGATGATTTGATTTAATACGTGCGGCGAAACTGTCGAAGTCTGCTTAGGATAGGTACATCGCCGAATTCCAGACTGTTCCAGTGGTTAGGTTTCAATGGAGACTCACATCGCCATACGTTTCAGGCATTCCCATAGATGTCGTTAGTGGTAACTTCCGTCAAATTAAAACGCAGCTTTCCTTAATAACAGAATCGTACTTTATTTCCACGTGAGAAACGGTGAATTCAGCTATTTCTATTCCAAAATAGCCACACATTTCTTCACATTTACAACTTCTCAAACCTCAACGCACAGAAAAAAATCGATCAACATAAGCAACCCGTCGAAGTAAGACTGTGAAGGACATAACACTGCCACGAAATCGAGGAGCAGAATTATGCAGAGTTGTAGGACAATCCGAACAACACAGTAGAAGCTTATGGTCCAAAGGTGTAAAACGTTCGATATACACACGGTCATCCAACGACAATCATTTGTACTCACAAAAAAAGGCGCAACACGGCAGTTTCATCGTCGGAAACACGCTCAAGCTTCGAAAAAGCGCATTTTTTCGAATCTCCCCAAAAGCGTCCTCATTAATAAAAGCGTCCAATCATGATTATTTTCGAGTTCCCGACCAGTATTCAAAACATCCAACTATTTACAGCGCATACAAATTTATGTTCTAGTTCACGGATCACCGTCCGTGCTATTCGGCCACACAACACATTCAATGAACATCATACCCGAATCCCACGTCAGTGGGATCCATCAAGCGTCAGCGATGATGAGATTTAAAAAAAGCGTTTTGGTTTCAACGAGCAGAAAAATCCTGCTTTTCAAAACGTTCTGAGTCCAGCAGGAACATCAAGCGCATTGAGTTCGTTTCATATCATTTGAAAGATGCCTTGTGGGAATCACTCCAAATCCCTTATAGAAGCGTCATCATAGTTTTCCTTTCCACTGTACATCCGTGAAATGAGAAGATAAATTTTCCAAGAAAATGTTTACGGAATATAAGGCGCAAAAATCGCTCGTTCGTCGATGCAACGGAAAAAAAGGAAATTTTGAAATTTCAAGAAGATTTTTCGATAACACTTTGTCATACACGAAAAAACGTAAGCTGTCGAGCGGACCGGGTAAAGCTGCAGTAAACAATGACAAAAGTTAATTCTGGATTTTTTCCAACCAAAATGATTCGACGAGAAATGCACCAGAAACACGACGTATGAAAAAAAATCCGTATAGAATAAGCACAACTGGAACAGTTTCCGACAACTACTTTTCTCAAAATATGGTTGAAAAACAGCGACGCGACTTCATCCCACAATAAATTATAAGCGTTCGACATGAGGAATCATGGCCACAAAAAAATCAAACCACATACACTCAAAATCAAAAATTCCGAAGAACTCAGACGATTAACAGGGCATTTAGCTTATTCCATCCGGACGACCGTCACGAACTTGAAATACTCCACGAGTTCCAACTCCGACGAAATCAGTCGAAAACCTTCGAGGTACAGAACATTTGCTTCTAATTAGCCTTAGAAAAAATTGAGGAAAGCAATTGAAATACTTCCAATGGTACCAGCCTTCCGCACAGTATTTTCAGTATGAAAAACTGCGCGTAAGTCGGAAGATTCAGAGAATGAATTTCGAGAAGTCTCTCAACTCACTTGACCCAAAAAGAAATCGATCACCCATCAACTTAAAAAAGAAGAAGAAACCACTAAAAACGTTTCGATCAAACTGCTAGCCGATATTCAAGCTGAAAAAGTAAAAGCTCAATAATAATTGCGCATAATTTTAATGCAGTGGAATTAGGCATATGAAACATTCATATTGAATGCTCATCAATAGTAAACTTCCATGCTTTGAAATAAAATTGGAAAATTTTCAGAATTATAGTCCAGCTAGCAGACACCCTCAAGAGAAAAAATTCTCCCGAACAGGAACTCCCGTTTCCCCGGAGACTTGAATAAAGTTTGAAAATTAACGAATAAAAACAACTGAAACAATGAAAATCGGGCCAGAACAAACCCCGGCATAAAAAAAATGATCAGGCCTTTCTTCTCAGCTTTCTGTCTGGCGTGCAACAGTATCCACGAGTATAGTACAGTACTAACAAAACAATACTTTATTTTACCGTTATGACAGGCCATTACGCAAAAAATATACAAAAAGATTATAAGTCCGGCGCAATAAATTGAGTTAAAATTTCAACAAACGCACCAAACAGAGCAACTTACTGACCTAGACAGAAATCTTCAAGATCTCCTTGAAGTTCAAGTGATCCTTTCCGGCTGACGACTTCCAAGGTATGAATTCGGAACTGCGCTACAATCACTGTCAATGTCCGAATCTCTGACGAATCGATCTTCCGGCTCGTCCTCATCGGGTATCATGGCAGATTCTTGTGCGTTGAATAAGCGATTCATGCTGGCTTTCGTACGTTTCTGAAGACGCATATTAGCACGGAATTTGTCAACGGTCTTCTGCGACTTTTGCTCAACATTCCCAGGGAATAACCGCTTGAAGCGGCCGTTCATCAATTTGACGTTCTCTCTAAAATTCAGGGAAGAAGTTCAGCGCCAAATTAAACTCAGCCCACACAATTGGTGAATTATTTTATGTTTCCGTACATATCTTACGTTGCTTCAAATATTTTCAAAACATTTAAAAATTCGAAGGATAGGCACTTCCGAGAAGCGCGTCTGCCTCAAGATCACAATTTCCGAGACGGGGTAGGTATAAGGCTGGTCACGGAAACGAAAACCTGATGATACCGAAACGTTTTTTCCGTTTCAAACCAAGCTCAAGCATCGTCCATATCAAATATCACTAACCATCGTCGAAAATATGAAAGTATGGAGATATAGCTCTAGGGACATTCCAGTATTTGCCATGGGAGGAACTGCAGTAAGACTAACAATTTCAAAAAGTCTGCTCGCAAATTTTATAATGAACAGCTATTTCATCTGAACTCTTTCCTTCAAATATATGAAATATCTTAGAAACGCAGGAATGAAACACCGAATCAAACCAACCTTTCTACACTCGCAACCGGATACTCCGGTATCGAAAAGTCATTCACTCTATCTTCAGTCGGAACATCCGATCGCGGCAGATTGATGAGCAACGGATTCGCCGATGCCACAGAAAACACAGTCTCAGCATCAGATTCCGAGACGAAATTATCCTCTGACACCTCAGTCCAGCTTGAGCGTTCTCTCCCCTTCGATTCACGAGCATTAATACGCTGCGGACGGGATACCTGCGCAGATAATCCGGGCCTTTGCCACCCGGCTCCTTCAGCAAACTGTTCACATGTACGACTCGTCGTCCGTAATCGATCCCGACCAGCAGGGCGCTTGAATGTTCCGGATGAAGTGCACGCATTACCCGTAGTTGATGCAGAAACCCGTGACGAATAAGCAGACTCTCCGCTGATGTTTCTTCGTCGATCACCGCGAGAAATACCTTGTCGCTCGTTAGTGCGTTCTTCGAAGGAAGGAGAAATTTCGCGCATCGTTCGACTGATGCCTCGGTACGGTGAACGTGGGACTGGACTTCTGTAATGGGAAATTCTTGATCTTTCCGACATATCTGGGCTGTCGAAGCGATGATACAACTCTTCACGACTTGGAGAAGGATAGTCTCCAACTCTTAAGGGAGAATTGTAGTTTCGTCGATCATCACAAGCCCAGTCGTCAATATATACCGGCGGTCGAATACGGCTGTCAAGAGGCACAGACACCCGATCGTGAGTGAACCTCGGCGGAGGACGTGAATCACTAGCGAACTGAGGCGAGTTCCGGTACAAAGAGTTGGACACCGAAGCACTCGGGGGCAACGCAGGAATGCTTCTCCGAACACCGAGCTGAAAGGAGTCAACAAACATACATGAGTACATTTCAACAAAACTGCTGTAACAAATCATTTTACAGGAAAGTGGGAAGGCTTTCAAATCAGAATTTAAAAAATTATTAGCATTTCATATATTGAACAGGAATTCACGTAGATGCAGATTCCAGAGGATGACAAAATATGCGTACATACGAGAATTACATATTGACAAGGAATATTTCTACTTTATAAATCTTCATGAAATGCAAGGAATTCTCACCTCAGGAGACGTTCGGGAGAGGGAGCTTCCATTGCGAACTCTCTCCTGTGGTGACGATATATCGCCTTGTTCATTATCTGAATCGATCATGACTAGAGGTACTCGGTAAAGCGGATTCCCGGAAGCAACTGCCCTCTCTCTTGGACGTCGGGCACGTTCGTCCAGGAGTACTGGTCGATAACTTTGATGCTCATAGCTCCATTGATCGCGATGAGGCGGAGAATCATGCCGATGGCGAATCAATTTGCGACGCCGCCGCGGACACGAATAATCGCTCTCGAACAGCTTAGTTACAATTATTTCTTTCAATTCTTCCACCGATGCGCTGTCAAGAAGCTCTTCCAAACGATTTTCAGATATTCTTCTCCATTTGGCTCGTGTTCGAGAATACCGAGAGGCCCTCGTGTATCCTTCATCGTCTGTACTGCAGTCTTCAGAAATTTCAGACCTACCACTGTCAGAGACCGACGCCTCGTCCGATTCAGAATCTCGATACCGCGATGATGGACGACGACGTTTCCGCATAGGTCTCCTGGACCGCGAATGAGGTGACGGACTTCGATCGTTTGAACATTCTCGGACGGATCTTCCTTTTGACCTCCTACGTCTTCCATCCTTGCTCATTTTTTTCGGATTCTGAAAATAATCGCAAGTCATAATTGCTGGTCATACAAATATTTGTTGATACAGTATGTCCGTTACTATTGGCAGTGCACACTTTTTTAAAACATATTCCGTACACAGCAGTTAACAGATATATAAATATTTGAAGTTTGAAACTTACATCACCAGCACACTGCGAAGATCCAAGATCAGGGGAGTCATCTCGTACAATTTCTGTTTCGGGAGTTTTTGATGCAGTTTTGTCAGAGACACGGCGCGTTTCCTTTTTTCGTTGAGATTGAGCATTTTTTCCATCGGCCATCAACGCATCCTCGCCATTGCGCTTTTTATGTGAATCGGACATCTTTGGCATAGGATTTTGTTTTGAGGTAGCGCGAAAAGCTGGCGGCTCCTTCGACGACGTACTTGAGATAGCGGTTGTCTGCTTCGGCGATTTCGATAGATTTCCATTCTTCACAGATGTTATTTTTGACTGGTCTGAAGAGACTTTTCGTGACGTCGATGCTCTCGGGGGAGACTTCAACCGTTTCTCAGAAGTCGAAAGTGGCGCAAGAGTGGCTCTTTTTGATGATGAATGTTCTTCCGAAATCGCAGATTTTGTGGGCGAGTTAGGATCACCCTCACCGGTTTCCGGAATTTTTCCGAGATCTAGAGATGACGATATATTACTCCCTGCCTTCTTCTTTAGTCGCTCCAATAAGGGTGTATCATCCACAAGTCCATCGAGCGAATCGTCTGATTCTTGTCCAGCTGGCTTTGGCGAGTTTGACGATATCCCAGCTGTCACAACACAGTCGTAGAGCCCTTTGGATAAACCTGGATCAACCATGGTAGGGGCATTCGAAGTTCCCGAGAACGAAGCAATGTTCTCAACACGTGTTTCAGTTTTCTGAAAAACTCTTGATTCCTTCTTGTACACTGGACTGATCTGGACTGACGATTTGATTTCAGATGCAGGGCGCCTAAAGTCTGGATTTGGAATCACCTCATCTTCTAAAGAATTCTTCTTCGGTCTACCTGGTCTGCGTTTAAACTCGGGCACCGGGTGGATCCGAGGTCTGCCGGGTTTTCTTTTCACAACTACACCATCAATGACGAGGGGCGGGGCTTTTCTTCGTTTCTTCTTTGGTTTCTCCGACATCGGTGCAGATGCTTTGACGTCACTGACAACCTTGGATGTTCTGTCCGCTTGGGAGTCATCGTTTATCGATTTCTCAAGACTTCCACGGCTTTCGTTCTTCACCTTCGACGAAGAGCCGCGCTTGAATGAAATTTTTTCCGATTTTCCAGTCCTTTGATAGACAGAAGGATTATTCTTGACGATGTGTTTAGACTCCTCTTTTCCGTGATGTTTTGGACGACTTAGAAATTCGTCCTCCTCCACGAGAGTCATGTTCGACACGTCTCTCAGAAAAATACTTCCAGCTTTAATATAATTCTTCCTCAGACATTCTTGCCTTAGTCTTTGTATCATAGCTTCGAGACGTTGCTCCAACTTTGAATAAGCCTGCGCTTTTCCTTGGGCAACAAGATCAATGCACTCTTCTATGTCCTTCTCACTAATATCCCTTGGCTCATGATATTTCAACTGCTCTTTCTTGTGATTTGAAGCATCCAAAACTTTGCTGCGTGGTGACGTGTCTTCCTTGGAACGCGTTCCACTCCTTGGGTTAGTTCGTACATGCTTTATCGAGGAGGGCTCTGGACGCACATCTGTACTTTGAATAGTACAGGAGGTTTCTGGAGGACGCGTGTTATCTTGAGAATCTCCAAAACTTTGATAGCCTTCATTTGTGGACAGCAACTTCGACTCGGGAAATGGGATATGGCTAGAATCAGATTCCAGCGAGTTCCAAACTTCTAAATCCCTGTTGATCAACACCGATTTGAGCGGGGAGTTCAGACACGTCGACTCTTCACTAGATCCGTCATCTTGTTGGTCGACACGCTCAGTGCTGCAGGATGCATCACATTCTAGCTGTGTGAAACTGTCGTCTCGGCTGTCATCGTTCACATTCAGGAAATTCTGCAATGGCATCATTTCCACCAAGCTGTGACAGCTGCTTTCGGATACACTGAACGAGGTCACGGCGGAGTTTTCTCTTTCATCAAGAACCATCTCAACATTCTGATAAGATTTAGAGAGTTCTCCCCTAAACTCTGCAGATCCTACAAACGTGGGTAAAATAGCAGCAGATTCCATTTCAAGAACCTTGAGCTTTTCGTTAGTTGGTGAGGAACATACTCCGAACTCGGGAGATCCCTGATGCAAATCCATCTCCACGAATCTTCGAGGTTCATGACGGTCATTATTATGCGACAGAGATCCATCACAAATCGGCAACGATTCGAGGAGATTCGACGCATGATTTTCAAATGGTGGCTTACTCGGGTGTGAAGAAGCTCCAATCGAATCTCGCCGCGTCAACGGAGCGTCATTTGTTGGAGGTGATGAAGACAGCGCGGTTGGTACTTCTGATGCACTCATTTCTTCCAAATCGTCATCTTTTTCCGAGACAAAAGGCTCATCGGATGCGTCGATCCCATCTTCCACAATGTTGTTAGTTGAATCATTGGCTGCCCTGCTCGCCTCATGACAAAAATCTGGAGATGCAGGTGGGGTACCCGGTCCAATTATGGAAGGCGTTCCGAGGACGCCCTCAACACCAGTGGAAATCGCAGTTTTTGTAGCAGCAACACGCGAATTAACTGGGAGTGGTTTCACTGTTTCCAAAGCCATAGCCGATGTATTTGAACGACCCAATCATGTTCTTAACAAGTTCTTCGGTGGAATAAGCATGCGCCACATTATATACAAGATCCCACCAGAATCTGCGGGCACAAATATAGGCAAATACATTTCAGAATACTGTATTGTACAAAAATATCAGAAGCACAAGAAAACGAAACATAATGCCAGAGGTATAATTTCAATTAAATCAACAACTTTCATGAATGAGGTCTACGACAAGACACAATGGATTAACCACAGCATCAGTAAATTAACTGCAAGTCAGTCAAATTTTCAAGTTAACATACTAATTTATTTCCACGTGAGAAACAGTAAATTCAACTATTTATATTCCAAAATACCAACACATTTCTTCACAATTTCAACTTCTCAAAACCTCAACGCACAGAAAAAAAATCGAAAGACTGTACAGGACATAACACGGCCACGAAATCGAGGAGCAGAATTATGCAGAGTTGTAGGACAATCCGAACAACACAGTAGAAGCTTATGGTCCAAAGGTGTAAAACGTTCGATATACACACGGTCATCCAACGACAATCATTTGCACTCACAAAAAAGGCGCAACACGGCAGTTTCATCGTCGGAAATACGCTCAAGCTTCGAAAAAGCGCATTTTTTCGAATCTCCCCAAAAGCGTCCTCATTGATAAAAGCGTGCAATCAAGAATGTTTTCAAGTTGCCGACCAGTATTCAAAGCATCCAACTATTTACAGCGCCCACTAATTTCCATTCTAGTTCACTCAGGGCACCAACGAAATTGGTGAAGTCCAGCCCAAACCTTTACTACCAGTTTCTCGGGTACCTAGAGCGCCGCCATGCTAACATTTTTTCCAATAGTGACATCTATGAATGTCAAAAATATTTGTGTTCCGATTGGTAAGATGGGTGGACCCATGTGTTGTGCTCCCTTACTAAATTTTGTGTTATAATTACAATATAACTGATTGAATTAATTGAACTAGCAAGCATTCAACGGAGAACGGACGATTAATGATCGCATATTTATGCGACAAAATTTTTTTGCATAGATGCAACCCTTATTTTTCCATCATGCACTGCTAGTGCTAATCATGAGTGTTACATTTTTGATCACTTCACAAATTCTCAATTCTTCCTCAGTAAGCACAGCAGTACAACCAATTTATCTCAATGTGTTTATTGGACTGACAATTTCTAAGGATGCTGAAGCAGCAAACCCACAACTGCCCGTCATTCAAACAGGAACTGAATTGAGATGCATAAATTTATTACAGTTGACGTATTTCAAATGTATTAAAATTACAATAAATTTATGCATCTTAATCACGGCCGGCATTGGGCATGCATGCATAGGCCCTGGCGTCCTGCACCTTTTCCAACATGAATGGCACCCATTTTGAATGCGACAATGTCGAGCAGTTCTGCCCCACATTCTATTTTATAGTCAGTGGGCCAGATCTGGCCATCATAGCAGAGACTCTTCACCAATCCGAAGGTAACCTGCCCAAAATTTTCAAGGCGGCAGCCACGTTTATTCAGAAAGAATGTATATTCAAATTCAAGGATTCAAAATGTTCAATTTGTTGTCATCCATCAGAAATTCCATGCAAATATGCTTCTGATTCAATACATATTACATAGCACTGAATTAAGCTTGGACCTTTCATCTGAAAGGGGGAAATTTGGAACCTCAAAAATTAATGTTTATTGAGGCCTGCACAAGGACTATGTGGACCTTTGCCACAAAAAAATATGCATCATGGTGGCTGTTGGCCATGTCTGAATTGTTCAGTACTAATGTTTGAGTCTCCTTTAATTTGGCACCGCCTGAGAAATACAGTATAAGGTGCAAATCTCCATGGTAAACAGCCACAATTTGGTGCCCTCCTTCCATTGGCACATTTTTGCAATGGGCCAATGGCATAAATCTTCTACAGACTTCTTCTTGCCTACCCTTGAAAAGAGTTTTGGTGAATATTTTGCTGCAGCTATAATATACTCTGGCGAGTATTCTAGGAGATTTTGTTGACTTGACAAGGCTTTAATCAAGTCATTAAAATCAGACATTTTAATGTAGACATTGAAACCATATTCTGCATCCAAAAAACTGATTAGCAGCTGAAACTAAGATTGGAGATTATCTTGCTCTCAAGGGAAATTAAAAACGAGCGAGCAACATTCCCAACAACTGTATTTCTTTACATAATTACCGTTTTATTCGCTTAACCGTATCCTGTTGTACAAAAAGAGCGTCTCAAAACTGAGCAAGCTCAAATGAAGCACAGAAGAAAGATGATACGCCACCTCAAACGAACAAACGACGAAATAGATCACAAATTTCTCAGTCCGATTGACACAAGTCGCTTTGTGGAAGACTCACCAACATCGCTCGGATTTCAGTAAAAAATAAACTCGACACTGCATCGGCAGCACGCAACATCCTTCAGTTTCCGGAAGACATAAGGCCTCATTTTGACAATGAACTTGAGTCAACGCGATGAACAACGCAATCCACACTGAAAAATCCGACTTTCAAGAACTGAAGCTAACTCCGCGCGCGACTGGAACTTATCGCAAAAATAAATAAAACAAACGAATACAGTAATTACTCAATCGCCGTCTCTGGTACGTCTGCATTGTTCGTGGTAAAACCACTGGATATTCCAACGGGCGGGTCCGTGTTCTCTGTTGCTCCGTCCGTAGACGGCGGGCAAACGGAATCGTTTGGTTCGAATTCGCCGAATTTACATTTCTTCTTGATCAAGCCGAACTGCGACTTGTACACCTAAATTGTGAAAACAAATATGCATCAATAAACGAACAAATGTATCACAACTAACACGGTGAACAATTTAAAACCATAGACCCTTTGTTTCAAGTGGAATCTCCTGACGGTAAAAGGATTTCGAATACGAATACTTCTTCCATGACAATGTTTTTGGGCACTGATATACGTGGGTCCAACAAAAATTCTCGGAATAAAAACTGAAATGGCATAAGAATGACGCCACATGAGAATGTGACAGCTGTTGATGGAAATGGTGAAATGGCCTCGGAAGATCTAGTCTAGAGGCAACCCTTGGTATTACAGTACAGTAATTCCATGCCGATTTCTAGTACAGTATTCTGAAGAAGCTGGGCAACACCAAAACGGAAAAAAATGCGAGATGAGCGCCTAATCTTTCGAGTAAAGAACAGAAAGCTGCCCAAGTGACTTCTTACCATATTTTTGACAAACGATAATTGTTCTTCAGCTGAATCTATGCCGTTTCCATGTGTAGTCCGAGAATTTTTGTAAACCCCTCATATAGATTGAGGAAAGTGTTTTCTTCAAGGAAAATTAACGGAAAAAGGACAGGTACTGCATATTAAAAAAAAAAAGGGCCCATTAGAGTAGGCCAAGATTATACAGTAAATAACTCATGATAGAAGATCAGAAGGACAGGCCGTCTCTCTTTCCCCCAAAAATTAACGATCAAGCTTACCCGAATTTTAACAGACGGTGACAAGGCAACACCCGCAGAACTATGTCGACTACTTTCGGCTTCCCTCTTCGCTTGCAAAACGTTCTTCCCAACGAGCGAAGCAAATTGCAGCGATAAATGCCGTCTCAGTAGAGTTTTCGAAACAGGAATGGCAAGGACCGCAGCGAGTGTCTCCGCGTTGAACCGATCTTCATAAACGAAGACTCCACCATGCACTCCACTTCCCTGAAATCGGAGAATTCGTGTAAAAAAATCTTACAACAGGCGAAGGTTAATTCTGGAAAAATACCTTCAAATTGTCCGCGAACTCGGCAAGGTCAATGCAACGAAGCCATTCGATGATTCTGCTGTTGGACCACTTTGCCAACGACTTCACACTTGTCACAGGCGTGGATTGATGCGGGGGATTTTTGTCAGTTTCTCCGTCTTCATAAACCGTTCTTGTTAATTGCGTCAAATCATAGTGAATCTCTCGTAGGACCTGGTGAAAGACGATAAAGGACAAGCGACAGATCAGACGGGAGACATTTTCAGCGAAAGACAAACGGAATATTTGCGTGAATCACGAATTCGTACCCGAATGCCGCTACGAAGTCCAAGAAAGTGCAGGAAATTAGTGATTTTCAGCCACTGCGTAGCTTCATCCACTGTTATCTTGTCCAATACTGCTCCATCAACTCTGCAGTCAGTGAAGCTCTCTCGATATTGAGGCAATCCCACGTCATTCAACCACCTCAGAACACCTGAGCAAATATACAAAATGAATAAAAAGTCAGAACTGAACTTGGCATTGTGAAACAAATGAATGTTAAGTATTCGATGACAGGAAAACGTAATTCAATTCTTAGAGAAGCACCTGTTGAAGAGTTGAGCATGGTAAAGTGCTATTCATTCGCTAATGGATCCTCAACAACTCTAATAATTCAATGAGTTCTGTACATATCATCATTAAGTCGGGAAGTGCGAAAGAAAGAAAAAAATCCTGGGTTCAACTAGGAATCGATGTGCACATCGCTTGTGAGAGGAAAAATAACATTTATTTTTTCTACTCGGACACGTCCAGCAAAGATATTAGTTGAATTTATGGAAACCGCATCGAAAATCAGAATAACAAGTGGAACGAATTTCAGGATCCGCAGAAAAGCAATGCATGCGTTTCGCGTCTGTCCAATTAATTGGGATTTATTCCGAAAACGTCGACATTTTTCAAGGTTATTCCGATAAAGACGGTATGATGCCAGAGTTTCCATTTATGATTTATTGTACAACCATATTTACATTTTCACGCTTCTTGGAATTATTACAAGTTCTTCTTGGCCTTGTAGCGCGCGGAATTTTCGGCATAGAAGACAAACTCCTGCGATGAAATATAAAGACTGAATTTGAAAAATCGTATCATAAAAAGCTTTTCATCCCTGATATCTTGGAACTTACCCGCGTTGTCCAACTTCAAAACATCGCAGTCTTCTTCTGGGGACGATTTGCTCCCGCTTTGTAAACGCCGCAGGCGATCACGAGCAAGCAGGATTTTTTTTCGATGCAAAGCATTCTTTACTCCAAGATGCTTCTCCAAATCACCTGGCGTGGCTGAAAGCATGGCTTCTCCTGACTGCAAGAAAGATCGCGCAGCTGGAGCGTAAGTTCCCAAGCCCAATTCTCCTAGCCAAGTACAAATCTGCTCAGAGGTCCATCTTGATGGCTTCTCTGGAACGCCTCTGCGGAAACGAGATGACCGCAAGGAGAAATGTTAAAATATCACCTTCATTACAGAACAAAAATCGTCACTAGCGATCAGAAATCTGAGTAGATCATAGATTCAATTTTTGAGATCACACGTATTGAAACTCCCGAACATTGATCCATGGAACAACACAGTGCTTTTAGAAGATTTAGAAAATACACTAAAAAGGTAAAATATGCTTTCCCGTACGGTTTCAAAGATTCCAAAGTCCCACGGGAGTTTGGATTCCAACCCAGGCGTGGTCCAGCAGTAGCACGGATGCCACCACGCTGAAATTCCGATCTCGGCGGCAGGGAAGAGTCCGATGAATTGCTCGCATCATCATGAGAATTTCCGTTTCCTGTTGCTGCCGAGGCGCTTTTCTTCATTCTAGAAACAATGCGAGAATAGCGAAGCAATAAATAAAAATAAAATCACGATAGTTGATTCAAGTATGTATTTAAAAAATACAACTGTTAAGTATTTAAACAAGGAAATTATTCATAAATTAAAAAAGCGAACTATTAAAAAATAAAATAATTTTAAAATACAGTATAAAAGAATTTCACCTGGAAAAAATACAGAAGCGATGTGTAAAAAAAAAAACGAATTTAAAAGGATGTTTCGGTCAACCACAATTTACGCGAACATTTTCCTCAATCACATAAAAATACTTGAAACATTATCAAAAAAATTAAGAAATAAACACGAAATCCGGTACTCACTTGGAAAAAATGTTACGGATGCCTCGCTGTCGGGATTTGGCACCACTTCCGTCAGCATTGCCAAATGACGGAGAAGGACTACAGGAGTGAACGATTCTCTCTCGCGTTCTGTAGAATTCCAACCGGAACGAGGATAATAATGAAAAAAAAAAAACATTGCTTAGAGGATTCAAGTAGCCCTCTCTGTGAATAAATGTAATTTCGAAAGCTCTTCAGCTGAAGAGGAAAAAAGTCAAATCACAAGACTTTCATTTAAATCCGAGGGTTGACGCATAGGTTTTTTCCCTGTTCGTGTCCCCTTTCCAGACTCTTTGCATATTAAGTATTAATTTCGAACAGTAGCATTTGATAATTTCTTTGACCACTGTAACAATTTTTGAAGATCTCCTAGGTTGAGAATATACAGATAAGAAAGTACTGTACAACCCATTACTCCGCGTAAAGAAACCAACGTTTGCTGTTAATACCACACAATTTCGGAGGGTTCCAACTCAGAAACTTGGGCACTAAAGAGAAATAAAAAGAGCTTGACTTCAAGATAACGATTAAAAAATATTTTCGAATACATTTATCGTACATGCAAAATTCAACTTACAGTAATTCAGACATTCAAATCTCCTTTGTCTCATTTCATTCTCCAAAAGTTCACGCATGAAAACTGTGAGAAGTCTATTGAAAAAAAACCAAAACAAAAACAAACCTGTCCAGTGTCGGAGTAGTCGGTCTTTTGACGGGTAAATTTTTCGGCGGCCAATCCGCAACCGCATTCGGCGCTCTCTGCTGCTGTTGCTGCCCAGACGGAGGTCTCACGGCACTGCCTACCCATATTGCATCCAAGTCATCTGCAATGATTGAACCGCGGGAGCACGTTATTTATTTTCCCCCGCTACCCTGACATAAGGTGGGATCATCTCTTGATTACCCGTGGTTTTGGAGCCCACATCTTTTCCGGGGCGCGGGAGAGACAGGAACTGATACTGATCCGCTTTGTATACCCGTGCTACATTCGCCGTACCCGACCCCGATGAGCTCGTTGGCACCTGAAATACATTCATTTTCAGCAATGATACCCCAAGGTGGATATATCAAAAATATAATACAGGTATTAGCAGAACTCGCTTTAGAAGAGAAAGCTAATTGAGTTTAAAGTAAAAGTTTATCAAGTTTTACGAAATGATTTTAAAATATTCACAATGGCTGAACTTCCTGACGGTGGTCGATTATGAGTGGGTTCCGTTGAAATGTTTCCTAAACCCAATCCATAATCACGATCGCCTTCACTGGTATTTGAGCCCGGTTTACCGGGTCTTCCTCGAGGGGGAATCTAAAACAAATTTCGAACAATGTCAGAATAATTTTTCGACGTCCTTTCCGCTAAAATAGCGACTATAGAAACCAGAAATAGAAGAAAAACATATTGCAAAGAGACACTCACAGAAAACTCCAACGAAGTTATCTCCGCTACCCTTAGCTGTTCTCGCAAATCCATGTTCTCCCTTTCTAGTTTGGACTGCTTCAGATGTAAATTCCCTATTTCGGTCATGAGGTCCAATTTGTGAGCTTCCAAACTTGAGCGCTGATTTAACTCCTGACAAAGACGAACAAACACAAACGAAGGACTCGAGGAACGGTGACCAGATGTTATATACGAGTTGATACACACCCTCTTGAGCGCTTCTTCTGTCTCCGCCAGCTGTGCTCGCTTAGTTTCTAATGCCCTTTCCAGGTCTAAAATTTTGTGCTGCTGGTTCTGGAGTTGGTCTTGCAATAAGGTCACCTTTTCAGGAGAAAGAACGCAATTTTGCATGAAATAAAGACAGAAACCCCGGGGTTTTTTCCACGTCCGTGTGAGTTAGCATAAAAAGCATTCAGCACAAGACTCGTCAGTTCGGACTAATCCAGCCAGTTTGTAACCATGAATAAAAGAATTTGCCCGATCTTTTTCAAAATTTATCTCGATTTCCACATTGTATTTGCGTCACTGGATAACGATAAACCCATACGAAAAAAAATGTTTTTGTGCAGCCCGGTGCTTCCGTCAGTTTTAGCCAAAAAATTGTGATATTCGCCCAAAAGATTTTCTTGAAGTTAATCCAATGTAAACTGATGATCAGCATCAACTGCTACCTTCACGTCAAACACTTCGTTTCAGTGATTCCTGTTCTTCAACTGACAAAATTGAAAGCAAATTTTCACTTGGGAACGATCAAAACCGCATTGCGGTCATTGAATGGGATTAGGATTTACAGTACCTCCAAATTTCTCCCACTCTCCAAAACTCTGCTCACCTCTAGCTTCATTAAAGAAATCCCGATTTCCATTTTTCTTTTTAGAATGAACTCCCGAACTAATCAGAAAATATTGCTGCGCATTTCCTCAATTGCCTGGGAAGCTCAAGAGAAATGCCTCTATCTGCCCCATTTAAAAGCTGCTGTATTCCCGAGACGCAACAAGAACTTCTGAAAACGTATCGACGCCGAGAAAGAAAATGTCTTGATGCACATTTCCTCCGAATACCACACAGGAATTCTGAACTTCCACGACTGTCACGCATCATGCTTTGGTAAAAAAAAATCCAAAAAAGATATTCTCCAGCGGTTCATTATCGACCTTTCTCGCAAATGGATCGACGGACTCGTACGTGGAAAGTTCATGGATCTTTGATGATCTCGAAGGGCAAATGTCCTGGAAAATAGTACTCACTTGAAACTGCAAAGCATTTTTATCCCCTTCAAGCTTCTGCACTCGGGCCTCCAACTCCATCCCGCTGACGCCCGTTGCCTGAAATGAGTAAGAAAAAGAAAGTGCTTTCATGAGAAAACCTACAATCGCAGGGATCGCTTCAAAAAACAATAGACGCTTGATGTAGATTACAAGTGAAGAAAGCTCAAGAATAAATAACAATCACGGCATCAGCAGTTACGACTGACTCGCTTTTCTTCTAGAGCTTCGACTTTTTTTTCTGAACTAGAGAGAAATGTGTTCAGAAACCGTGGTTAAAAATTGCCGTTGGGATTCCTCGATGCATGCAAATATCCCGAGTGTAACAGGCAATTGCAACAAGAAATCATGCGCAGTTATTCCCTCCAGTCTACGTATAGGTCATGAGAGAAACCTTATTGCAAAATTTATGACCCCCCCATCAATTCATAGCATATATCTGAATCCGTAATCCACATGAGATTATGCTATCATACCAGAATTATGACCGGAAATTGCGTCGTAATCACCGACGTATAGTACATCGATAAGAATGCATCGGCATGAAAATCTTCTTCAGCTACATGCTTTCCATTATTCTTGCCCACTGAATCTGACATATACAGCAAACTATAAGCTTCACACAGTGAACTAAAAAACTATTCGTGAAAAAGTAGACGGAAAAGCAAAAAATCTGCAACTTAGTCAAGGCTGAAATTTCTCGATTTGAAATGGAAGATGGATTCAATCGGCAAGCATGTCGCAAAAATAATCGTTGCATAAGCTGATCATGCTCAGCGCAACACGTGGCATGGATTCAGAATTCAAAGTGAATTTATTTTTAAAAAATACATGGGCGAACAGTAGCGAAATTCCCTAGAATAAAATTCAATCAAGGAAAAGTTGAAAGCTTCCGTTGAAATACGATAAAAAAAAAGCTGCATACAAACTTCACTTCTCGAGCCACTGACGAACTTTCGACAAACACTTGGTATTCCTCCTTTTCTATCGTAAGATAATTCTGAGATTTTTTTTTCCGCTTTCAGCTTTATTCGAGCACTTGAAATTATTTTACAAATTTGAACTACGATCATTTCATGAAATCGGAATGTGACCCGAATCATTGTAGGAACCATCACCTAACGCGTCGCGAATTACGAGTCATCGGACCAAAATATGTGGCTCTAGATTATTTACTCGTGCTACCAAATCAACTTTTAGCGTCGGGGAATCAGAAACAGGAGCACACGATACGATATAAAAGAATCTCTAAATCACACTCCACGAATTGCTCAAGTCGTGGGAAAAATTTTCCGAATACCGGCAATAGTAAAAAGGATCCGAAAAGAAGAACTTTCGCCAAGACTAAGAGTAGAAACAATGACCAGCTGCTGGAGCTGCTAAGCATTCGAAAGGTTGAAAATAATTGCTTTTTTAATTATTCATGATCATGTTTTCCGGATGATGCAATTATGAAGACGGAATAAAATTCACTAGAGACCATACCATAAAAAATTCCGGGAAGAAGGCTGATTGATAATGAGGCAGTTGAACGAGCATTCGGCATGCAAACATTTACTGCATTCTGGGAATGCTTGCAAGCCATTAAGACGTGCGAAAAAAATGATTTCTCCACTAAGTACTGTAGTTCTCGAAGGACGTTACGACTCGTTTCATTCTCCAGATGAAGCCTCTGCATTATAACATGATTGTTATACGAGCTGCACAGGTAACGGATGAAGATGTGAAAAATTAAAATTAAATTTCATTGAACTAATCTTCAAAACTGTTAAACAAGGCAAGCTCATTGAAATCTCGAATAGCGTTAAAGAAATTTAAAAAAAACATTGGCGAAGAAGTAAACTCGCAAAAGAAGAGCACTTGGAAAGTTCAACTATACTCTTTACACATATCTGAGCGGGTTTTGGGTGCAAACGTAAAGAAGTGCCCCCAGTAAACTTTAAAATTCCAGATAATTGGCATAAGCTCTTGAATAATTTAAAATAAGTACTGCTTCTGGGCTCGGTAAAATAACCAACATTTTTTCGAGGATAACTCGCCTTGACACGATTTCACCCTCTGTCATTAGACCATATCAATAATACTGTACTTCATGTGCATGACCTAGAATACCTAGATAAATCTTCAACAAATTATAAAAGCCCATGCTCTAAAATTTCGAAAAATTGACGTCAAGCCCTTAAGATTTTAGAAATTACTAGCGTGTGATTCAAATATGAAATTTTTTTTTGTCTCAATGAGCAACCCGAAGACCCAAAACAAAAAGAGCCCATCACCGGACGGACTGAACAGCCCACCTCTGTAATCAAATTACTACTCTTCATCAAAAGTTTGCCATCAAGATAATCATGCTAAAGAAGTCTGCCATTTTTTCAGTAACTTTTATCAGAATAAGCCTCAGATATAAGTAAACTAAGGCAGCTCTTGCATTTATATTACAGAAATCCTTATGCCGACTGCAAATTCGCAGTTCGGAAACACGGAAAACTTCATCTTTCGGAGTCGCATTCACATTCCTTGTCCTGAAAAGCTTCTCAGGAAGTTTAACATGAAGATAATCATCATTTTCAAGAATGAAAATTGAAGTTTCCGCGATTTTCTTGAGTTTCAACGAGAGTCAGACATTACGATTGGAAGTACGAACATAGATTCTTCCACCTGAAGTCAGCAATCCTCCTGACCCAAGTTAATCATAGGAAAAACATAAAATACGTGTACCATACTTTACATGATGATACAGTACATGCATTTCACTCGGAAACGTTTGTAAGTACTGTACTACAGTCCTCAATGGATTACAATATTTCCTTCAACTGTCTTTAGATTCAGTAAATCTCACATATCGCAACGTAAACAAACGGGGAATAAGAATTCATTCTTGAGAAATCATGATTCCAGTTATGAAGTTGATTGTCAAATCATCAGGAACTACCGTATTTTGAAGTTTCTTCGATGTTTTCTTTCCAAAACACATACCCAGAAATTTTGGCAGGAAAATGAAATACTACACTAGAACATAGTTCCAGAAACTTTTTTTTAGTCTGTGTAAATCTCACACGGACGAAACTCGTGCATCCTCTCTGAACAAAAGTTAACCTAGCCATAAAAGTCCACTTACAAAAACGCAAATTTCAAAGTTGTCTCAAGATCCCTTCATGAAATCGCCTCTCTAAAAAATGTTCCACACACGCACGTGAGTACAGTATTGTACACTACACAGTACTGAATTCCCCAAATGGATTCCAATAGCTTCACCAACTATTTCCGGGCTCATAAAAACCTCACACGTCACAGCGGGGAGAAAATGAGCTCATGCATTCATTTTACAGGACTTCTGACGCTCGCTTCAAAGTCCCTAGACTTTCCGTGCACCACGGGGGAATACAAGGGGCAAGACGGAAGAGGGGAAATAAGGAGCAAGTAGGAGAGAAGGTACGGAAAATTTCAGCTCTTGCTGGTCGAGACACACAACGTCAACTTCCGGCGTCCGGACTGTAAATCACGTCGAAACGACAACACACCCCGACAGGAACCTGCGCTCGGGGAATAATAACGTTGCAGTAGCCCCGACGCCGCTCTTCCTTGAGCCGCCTAAGCTGCGCCTTCTGCTGCGCCAGCAACCGCGCGTTCCTCCCCACCAGACTCATGTAGTACGCATCCAACAACGACCCACCGACGCCCTGCTCGCTCCTCAGTGACTCCAGACTACGATATCGCGTCGCCGCCTGATGATGATCAACGTAAGGCGGGGGAGCAGGAGCGGGAGCGATAGCGGCGGCGGTGGTGGCGGCGGCGGCGACCGTAGGCGGCGTTCCTGATCGTAAACTTCGACCCGGTTCGTCCGGACGCGCGCAGAGATAAACGTGGAACGGTGGCAGGCTTCGACGTGATGACTGCTGCAACGCCGAAGACGGCGGCGGCAAAGGTGGCAATGTCAGTCGCCCCGACACCACGCAGGCTTCCCCGATGCCATCATCGTCGTCGTCGTCGTCGTTGCCATCGTCGTTCGACGATGTCGACGAGGACTCCTCGCTCGGAAATATGACGGGGTGTCGCCAAGGGACCGCGTGTTGCATTTTTCTTTACTTTTTATTGTCCCTCCTCTTATCATCGCGCATGGAGGCAATATAAAATGAATTCCGCGGTGGCGATCATACCGCTGTCGAAACTGATTAGACTGGCACCAGCTTTGGGAAGTACTGAATTCAACTCCGTCCTTTGAATGAACGACGATCGAAAATAATTGTAAAAAAGACGAATGAATAAACCGACGGCAATATTTATAATTTGACGCCAGCCCTAATCAAATAACCCGATCTTTTCCCGCGGCTGAAACTGGAAAGGAGTGGAAATGTCCCGTTGAACGAAATGTCAATTTTATGATCATTCTGAAGGTGAATTACGACCCAATTTTTAGAAAGCTTTCATATCATTGTTTGTATCAGTCTCACGAAAACGCGACAGTGTCCTACTTTTCTGAACTATTCCCGCACATAAACGGAAAATACGGCACAATTCTTGGATTCGCTAAACTACAGCAATTGACAAAACTTGAATAAGTACAGTACTATATATCAATCGGTGGCGGAGAATTGTACCAATGAATTATCTGGGCAGCGACTTTGTGGACTACAAGGCGTATCAACCTCTTGGAGAAATACAGTCATAACACCACTGTCAAAGCAAGAAGTACTGTACAACCAGTGATATGCAATATCACAGCGTGGCAAGTCTGGTCAAATTACATAATTTCACGACTTTTTCATACGTTTACCACATGTTAGGTGGTTACCATCAATAGTGTAGTACATTACCACCGGTTGAAATTGTGACGATATTCTGCATAAAATGATCATTATGTGTTTGCGCTTGGAACCCAATTATGTTAAGTGGCACTTGCACACTGATTTTCTCTGCCATCCACAATACCGCACTGTATCGGTACCTCCCACGCATCGATGCGGACAGTCCAACCGTATTTTCCATTTAAAACATTTGATTCATTTTAAAAAATTAAAAAGGCTTCGCTCAATTTTGACGACAGGAGATAATTAAAGAAGCAGATTAAAATTTTATACGAGCGTCGATGACTTTCAACGTCGAAAATATACTCTTTTTTGATTTCATTGAAGTTTTCATTCTTTATAGCAATGTTTTCTGCATGAAGAAATAACTGTCGATCCCCTGTTCAACATCGTACAGTACAGTACAGATATTTTTACTAATATTTTTCGATTCATGTACCAGGTGTGCGAAAAATCAAAACGGTTTTTATCTCAGTTTACACGGCGGTGGAAGTGTTACCTCAAATCTAGAAAAATCCGTACTTCGGTAACTTCCGAAGTTGAGTAATATTTGCCTCATGTTATTATTTCTTGATTTTTTTTTTCGTGAAGCAGTAAACGCAAAATCATCAGTGTCACCATTTCAGTCATCCTCTTTTTTCTTCCATGAAGTAGAACAACAATTTCCAACACACTCGGGAGACACTCGACAAAGTACCACTCAAGTTTGCGCCATGGCACAAATTTGATTCAATTCGCGTGAGAGCGCCGGAAAAGGTCACTTTACGGGGAATAGTGCGATCGTGCGTAACCGTACCCAGTAATTGAGATTCGTGGTCAATTAACACATGGGTTAGGGAGAGGAAACCTAAAGGAATAAGAAATGCGAGAAATTCACACCCCCCACAAGACTCAGTCTTGCCCTATACGAAACCGAAATCAGGCAGAAGCGCAAATTGGGTTCAAGACTTGTCTGAAGTACAAGGCACCTCACGTCACTTCCAGCACTCGTCGCGGCGAGGTTCTCCTCCCGCCTGTGCGAGATCCTGTACCTCAAGCGCGAGAGACGGAAGCGGAAAAACACCATGGGCGAGAACCTTTTTCTTTCTCTCTCCCTCTCTTTTTTTCTGGGACAGGGTTTTCTGGTTCAGACAGGGTTTCAGCTTCTGTCCCTGTCCCAACGGGGGCGCAGGCACGCGCATCCCACCCGGGCACGGATCCAACACCACACCACGGCCCCGCCACAAGATTATATTTACGCGTCTTCCCGATTTCTCTTCAAGTCGCCAGCCGTGTTCACGTACACCTACCTAGCTAGCTGCCTACTGCATTTCGGCACGCTAATATGACCCCTATCAAGTCGTTACGCTTCCTGAAAGTCTCGCCTCTCGGAACGACGGCGGAAGGCATTTCACAGTAGGATGAAGAGACTTACGGCTCGGAATCGCAAAAATGAGCAGTGAGTTGATGCGTTAACTAAAGCATGGCTGGGGGAAAGAGGACGCGCCTCTTCACAAGCATTGAAAGTGCGGGAATTTTCCCGAATTCCGCATTTACGCAGATAAAGTGCAGTACAAATATCCCCTCGATTTTTCATGTACTGTACACAATAAAAAATTCTATTAATATTTGAATACAAGCACTCATTTACATTCCTGGTTTTCTGCCCTTCCAGCTACCTAATACAGTAGGTACTTTCGACTAAACTTTGATTTCCACCAGAAAATTAAAAATTTCGTCACACAACCATTTCTTTTCTCTTTCTGTCAATGACTCGTACATCTTGAAGTGGTTACAGCTGGCCATTTCCTGATAATTTTTAACTTCAATTCCAAAAAATAGACTACAAAAAATGCTCCATTGTTGGGCTCAAACAGGAAGATTTACTGATATAGACCCATATTTACACGAATTAAATTAATATGTGAGTAAAAGCACCCCTTAGTTTTTGAGATTCCAAAATCGTAAGAAGGGGTGCAGTTCGGAAGGGATCAAGTAAAAGAAAAACAAGGTAGACAGGCAGAAACCCCCGAAATAAAAAATCATTCGGATCTTTCCAAATGGAAATTTCAAATTTTTATCTCAGTACTGCATTCGACTCGGATTCCGGAAACCCTGAAACCTGAATCGTTCCCATCTATGATCGGTGTGGGGAAAAAATACTCCTGCGAGCCCGATGTTTAAAAAATACCAAAATTTAGCAGGGATCACTAGAAAACCCCGCGGAATTCTGATTGAACTACTGTAGTCCAATTAACTCAAAAGAAATCACCTGAGCATTCGCAAAATTTCTTTATATAGCTCATGCTAAAACAGCGATTCCGATTATAAGTCCCATTTCCGGCAGAATGCTTTGAAGTTCACGCTTTGAAGTTTCTCGTTTTAACGCATCCATTGATCCTTGAGATGATACATTTTGAACAAAACAGCCACGGGATCGCAGCTAGCGTCTGACTTTTTCAGGATCTAAGTCGATTGTTCTAATCATCTAATGATTCATACCGCGATGATTCAGATCATCATACCTTCATACGTCTCGCATGCGGGACTATTTGAAATTTTCTTCGAATTTCATAAAAATTCACAAGCCCAGATTTCCTAAGATAAATACGCAACAAAGATAGAGCAAACTCGGAGAAAAATCTTTAGTCCCGCATGCTCCGAACCGTTCCTCGAAGGTAAAAAGTTTTCAAAATGTATAAGCCAAGAAATAGAAATACCTTGGACGACACTGCTCAATCTGATCGAATCTGGCGAAGTGCTTTTCGTTACTTTCAATAGTTTCAAACAAACATAAAGAAGCTCCGATTTTGGAAAAACACAGAACCAATGACTCCAGGTTTATCGTGGAAAATAATTCTAAAACATGGCGAGCTATTTGAAATTTTTTCAAGTGCTATATAAATGCTACAGTTTAAAGTCCAGCGGAAGGTTCAAGATACCCCGTCATTAGACAGGAAAGGATGTGCTTACGACATATTGCATGGATGTTCAAATGATTGTGTACTGATCAAAATTTAATGAAGTGTCTCTACGGAACGACATTTTAGCACGCCTAATAGACTCGCGCAGTCCGCATTTTGAGAAAATTTACACCATTCTCGGAGTTGATCATAATACCTAGTAAAGGAATACATGTCACAGAGAAGACGATCCCCGTACTCACACGAAAGTACTGCACACCTTGATTGGAAAAGAAAAAAAAGTCCTAGCAAAAAACTTGATAGAACTGGAACAAATTCAAAAATCGGGCTGAAAAATACATCCTATACATTGATGAAGCTGGAAACGCAGTTGGTTTATGGGTTTTCCGTTCATGGATTTTCACACGCGCAAATAATATCCTGCTGTGAATGACTGTCAGCAGTTCGAAGACACAACAATGCTAGATTTTTCACCACTTTAATCTACAACCTACAGTTGGTTCCGTCTTTCAACTCCAACGCAGCACAAATCTAAAATATTAAATCAAATATATAGGCAGCAATCGTCAGTGCAGACCATGCACGAATACCACAAGCATAGGCCGCACCACAGTGGACTTCATATCCCATCAAGTAAATGCGGCATTTCGAAACTTCTGGAAGCAGAGAAGTTCCCTCTATTTTCCCACGTTCGGCTGTTGCTCGCAATTGGGCTAAAAGCCGCGGTCTCGTTTTCCACGGCCGCTAAACTCCGTCGGGAATACTATCGACACTTTAATTGCTTCAGCGTGTTATGCAGATTAGTTCGACACGTGGCAGCAGCAGAGAGGAAAGCCGTCGTGTCCTTCGAACGGAACCCGAGTTGAACCGGCAACCGACAGCTCGACACACACACGCTCTCGGCAAAAACCACCTGTTCGCAAACGACTTCGCCCCCCTTCGTCCAAGCTTCAGCTAACACGAGACTAATAAAATAAGAGTTGGAAATCCCCTTTCCCGAGGTGTATTTGCATGAAAAGTTCAGTTACTGTACTGCCATTTTCCCACAAAAATTCAGATTTCCATCTTCGACTAAACCGCAACGTCTTCCAGAATCCCTCTCGAGACGAATCGATCAGTTCTTCGAACGAGACTCGTCGATTGGAGGATGCAATGAACTATGCACTTTTGCATAAGTACCGTATTCTAAATCGCATAATAACCAGCAAGTATGTACAGTACGTCGCGAATATGCTCGCGCTCCTCGATCAAGTCGGCATTACGACAGCAAAAAAAGGAATTAAATTGCTAGGAAATTCGATTATGCAGGAGTGAATCAAGGAAAGTGAATCTTCGTGAATTTCTCCGCTCCACCTCATATCCCCATATTTCTTTCTGTAAGTGACAGGCGATGTCTCAAAGAGAGAGGGTACTCCTAAAATATATCGGGTAATGAACGAATGCATCCTTCGTGATAATCAAGAAAATTTACGCAGGTTTTAACACAAGCTGACCTAATTTTAGCAACTTCCCTCTACAATTTACCATGGACATTTTCTAATGATAGTTGAATACAATTTCAATGTCCGTTGAAACAAATTTTTGTACAGAGCATACTTTTTTTCTTGGTTCCCACAGGTTTGATCATGTGTGGATGGGCTAGGAAATTCCTACTGATTCATACAAAATGGAAAAATCCAACTCGTGCATAAATAAATGCAAAAATAGAAATGCCACTCGTTTTTTCTAGAATTTCCTGCATTTATAGTATTGCAATAAGTACGATCTAGAAGAATCCTTTTCAGAATTTACCTAGCTTCATTTTAGTTTAAAAATCACCGACCTTTTCAAATTCATATAAACGGCATGTTTGAATGAATGTTGATCTATTTTAGAGAACACACAGTTGATGAATAAATGCTCTTCTTACGTTGTATTTTTGTTTCTTTCAGTTCACACTTCAGTGATATCAGTACAATTTTAGGAAATTTCAGAAGGGATAGGATTCTATTTCATACACTTCATGTTCATCTCTCATTTAATTTTTTTGAAGTTAGAAGTAATGACAATTCTTTACATGCACGCTGTGGAAGCACTTCAGAGCATGTTGTCACCTAGTTTCCGCAAAATTTCAATTCCAAATGATCGAAGAGCCATGGATCTAATTATAAAAAAAAAATGCACAGGCTCCTGCGAGTTCTTCGTAAATTTGATTTTACGGCGCTGCATTATCCCGAACATTCTAATGTCCAGGCAAATGTATCCGGACAAAGCCAGCGTCATATTGACTTTTCAAGTACTGTACAGTATTGAAGTTACAAACGCTAAATACACAGTGCACTCGGAGAACCCTGCTGACACAAGACGCATTTGTTACTACAGTATAACTGATGAGTGAAGTTTCCACGGTCGATCCTTACCGAGAACGGCACCAATTGACTGGTGTCTGGCAAACTCGTCGAACTCCCGGTAACCTTGTAATTCAGCATCCTCCCTCCGAGCCCTAGGCTCCGGGTAATGTTCTCATTTTTACTTGGCAAAGTCGTCGTCGTAGTCGACGTCGGCGCCGCCGTCATCGAGATCCCGGCCATCATCCCGCCGACACTCACGCCACCGTTCTGCTGCTGCGCCGCCGCCACATTGTCCCAACTGGTAGCGCGCTTGTTCCGCCAAAATCCCGCCGCCGGGGATGGCGACCGTTGATGCAACAAAAACGGGTCTTGTCCAGACCCCGAGCCCGGGGTCGGCGGTCGTTTAGCAGTTACGTAATGCGCCGGCACGCAGTCACTGGGACGCAGGCCGTCTTTAGGCGCCCGTGGCGGCTTCGACGTCACCTTCCGCACCATCGGCGAGGGCGGCGACACAAGCAAACGGCTCATCTCGGGTTCATCCTCGTCACCGGGAAAATCCGGTTCGTCGTGGTCAAAGTTGCGAGACGAGCCGCAAAATGATTTGAAGCTGGCGCGTTGATGCTTGGGGGCCCATGTGCTGCTGCTGCTGACTGCGTGAGAACTGCTCGACGACATCATCGTCGCCGTCGTCGTCGCCGATGTTGGCGGCGGTACAGAAGGCGGTGGTTTCGCGTGGTGGAACACGAAGCCGCCGTCGGAGGCTGAACGCAAGTGGGCCACAGCAGGGCACATGGGACGAGATGGCGGCACGGCGACGCAAGCGCGGCGGCGAG